GAAAGACAATTTAGCGTCATCTGCAAAGTGAAAAGACCGTTGTTTACCGCGGAGCAAGTCAGTCATTGGTTGAACAATGCTCGCGCAGTTAGGTATAAAGCGTCTGTAATAGTTGACCAGGCCAAGGAATCGGCGTAACTGCTTGAAGGAACTGGGAGCAGGATAATCCTTCAGTGCCTGGATTTTGTCTGGCAGGGCTTCGATACCAGAGGCAGATATGCGGTGGCCAAGAAAGTCGATGGAGCTTTGGCCAAGCTCGCATTTATCGGGGTTGACGGTAACCCCATGCTGTGTTAAGCGCTGGAAGAGAGCGTCGAGGTGACGAAGATGCTCCTCGTCAGAAGAGCTGGCGATGAGTATGTCATCTAAATAAGGGTAAACGCCCTCGAGTCCTCGCGTTACCTCATGAATGAAACGCTGAAAAGTTTGAGCAGCGTTGCTGAGGCCGAAAGGCATTCTGAGGTACTCGAATAGGCCGAATGGCGTGATTACTGCGGTTTTAGCAATGTCGTCTGGCGCCACAGGTATCTGATGGTAGGCACGGACTAAGTCGACTTTGCTGAAGATAGACTTGCCAGCTAGAGCTGAGGTCAAGTCGTGCATGTGCGGGATAGGGTATTTATCCGGGACGGTAAGTTTGTTAAGTGCCCTGTAGTCACCACAGGGGCGCCAGTCACCGGACTTCTTCGGCACCATGTGTAATGGTGATGCCCATGGACTTTTAGACGGGCGGATGATTCCCAGTTCGAGCATTTGCTCGAATTCCGCCTTCGCAGCTTTGAGTTTGTCCGGGGCTAGTCGGCGAGGGCGGGCCGAAACAGGTGGGCCCTTAGTGCAAATGTGATGCGTGACGTTTGACGTCACCGGAGGCAACTCGTTCAGGACGCGAACGAGTTTAGGGTGCTTGCTGAAAAGTTCTAGAAAAGACTGTGAAGCTTGAGGTAGGACACGAATGGGAGTGATAGCAGCCACGTTGGCGCTAGTCCCGATAACACTGAGCTGTGTCCTAGAATCGATAAGCTTCTTCCGTTTAGCGTCGACGATGAGGTCGAAGCGTTGAAGAAAGTCTATGCCTATGATGGCGAAAGGCACAGCAGCGATTATGAAAGGCCAGCGAAAGGTTCGCCGGAGGCCTAAATTGAGCGTTAACAGCTTTTCGCCGAAAGTTGCGATTGGTGTGCCATTGGCGGCACGCAGCTTGGTCGGCGATGGTGAGACGAGCAGTGACCAGGCATCCGTAGTAGGTGTCCAAGCCAACGTAACTTGTTCAATTCTATTTGTTGTTCTACGGAACTAGCCTGCACAACAGTCGTCAAGGCCGGTGGCCGAGTGGTTGTCACGTTTTGCTTCCCAACCATAAGGTCGCCGGTTCGAATCCGCGTAGGAGTGGGCGTCCTCGCGGTAGAATCAGCCCGCGCGCGACTGGTGGTGGTCGCGCGGCAGCGAAGCGCCGTTACGGCGTATAAGCTGACATTTCTTTTATTCGTCAAGGCACATCATTGCTGCGGGCACACTAGTGCCATTCGACACAAGCAATGCTTCGCAGACAACGAGACTTGAAGGCGCTGCATATGTTCAGATCGAAAGGGTCATGTCTCTCTTGTGGAGTAGGACGGTCGTTACTGTGACTTTGTAAACAGATCGAAGGACACCACTCTGACGCCAAAGATGCCGCAGATTGAGGAAGTCGGCTTTGGCTTTTGCAAAACAAGTACTGACTACATGAGTTATGCACCAAATGTTATTGATGCAGCTGCCAAGTGAAGTGATCAGCTACCTCGCTACCAACAGTCAAGGAATCATCAGAAGGCTGGTGTCCTGCAACATTGCATTTCGAAAGTGCAAAGCGTGTCATATAATGGGACCAGTCTTGAGACTATTCGGGGTTGATTGGGCGGCCAAAATAATTTAAAACAGCAGGACAATACCGTGCGAATAGTAAAGATCAACTAGCTTCTTAGCAGGCAACAACACGTCTACAGTATGAGGCTAAGAAAGGGAACGCTCCATGATGCAGTCTGCGACGAAGTTGAAAAAAAGGCGAAATCTGACAACTCTGACGAACGCCACTTGTGGTCGGAAAGACACAACAAATCACCGTAGACTGTGGTATTCGAATATAGGGCGTGGAAATGTTCACACTTTGTGGGAACGCGTTTCCACACAAGTATTTCGTAGTGCATCGTTCGACTGAGTAGAATGCACACTCGAAATCGGTTTGCTTGGCGAACTCTAGTTTCCACAAAGTGAATATGGCGTCTATACCGCCCCATCCTGAACGGAGATCTGGTCACTCTGCTTTAATCCGGAATTCGTGTTGTAATGAGGCGACGAACGACAATTTATGGCAATATTGTTGTCACCACCGGCGTTCGACTGGTAATGAAGTAGTTAGCACATTTGGTACGATTGCTTTTATTGTATATCGCCAGTATAATCGATTCGCTCCAGTCATCTGGGAAGGTCTCTTCTTTCCAGACCTATTCGAACAGTAAGGTCAGTGCTTCGCAGAAGACCTCGTAATATAGTGTGAAGGCGAGGAAATCCGGGCAGCTGCACGAAAACAATCAAGGGCTGCAATCGGGTTTCGGACCTCAGGCTCCGATGGAGCCTCTACGCTAACCGTCAATGGATCATCTGCATTACCTGAGTAGGAAGAAATGCAGGAGCATGGGGACAACGCAACTGCTCTAGAAAGTGCTTCGCCCAACGAGCATACGGCGCCCTTTGTTGGGTATCAGGACACCCGCGTTGCATTTGATTGTCTGGCTGAGGCCTGGTTCTCTGGTGCCAATGGTGCGCATCAGCTACAGAGTAGGTATGGCAAAGCAAATGCTACAGTGATTTTGTAAACACGTCGCGAGTAGCTGAATTCCTGTGGTATTTCTGGACAAGTCTCACGATGGATTTCAGTTTTCCTAATCGGAAGGGAAATGTGTGTGCGGGTGGGTTTAAGCCTGTCATTCCGCCAATGTGTTCTCAATGGCGTTCCGCAAAGTTCGATCCTTGGTACCCTTCTCTTCACTTTACACGTTAATGACCTACATGAGGAATTGGGTGTGTCATCCCTAATGTTTGCGGATGACTTGAAACTCTGGTTCACGACAGGCGATCTGATTGGTCCACTGACCGTACAGGGGGCTCTGGATAGACTTTGGGACTGATCAATTTTGTGGCAGTTGTCCGTTAATTTAGTGAAATGTTCAGTTTTAGGCGTTGGTCCGAATGACCCGCCGACGCGTTATTTGCTTGGCAGCAACGCGGTACCGCGAGTTCAACTCCAATCTGACCTCGGTGTTTTGCTGTCATCCGACTTTAAGTCCCCTGAACACTGGACGACAGCTGCTCGCAAAGGTTTCAACATGTTGTGGATGATCCGCAGGTCATTCGGGATCATGAGCACCGACATGTTCGTTAGACTATTTTCAGTTTTTGTAAGGCCGCACTTGGAATACTGCGTCCAGGCTTGTCCTCCATGCCTGGTTCGTGATAAGATGGCAGTTGAACGAGTCCTGCGGTCCGGGACGAAAATGGTGCACGAAGTAAAGAAGCTGACGTACTCGGAAAGACTACGTAAATTGGATGTTTTCCATGTATTACAGGCGGCTTCGGGGCGACTTGGTCCTCATAAATCGTATATTGGTGGGTAAGATTAATCCTGATTTGACGGGATTGTTTCGCCCAACTTGACTGCCAACTCTTCGTGGACACCCATCAAAGTTGCACAAACCCCGGTCTGACCGGGTTTGGGCAGCTTTTCGGTTATCGCGTAGGGTCAGCTTATTGGAACGCATTGCCTGCAGACGTCGTTATGGCACCGACGGTGAAAAAGTTCAAACATCGACTTGACGCTCTCGGTCTGCAGTTCAAAGTTTTCTCCTTCATGTCCTGAACTTCTTTTCATCTACTACGGCCTACGCCCCTCTAACTCATTTTAACTTACAGCTTAATAATGCCTACGAAATTCGATAAGCTTGTCTTCACGTGACCGGCACAACGGGGACTGCTAGTGCAGGGAACGTGGGTATTGTTTGGTTGACCATGCAAATCGTGTGGGTTGATTTGGCTTTCCATTGGCATATCAAGGCCCCGGTTTCCCTGTTGGATCAACGACGTTTTCCAAGGTGGAACATTCGCAGGATTTTCCTACCGTTCCGGTCCCAATTGAACTTGAACTTCAGTTTTTTAACATAAACAGTTTTTGGACTACAAGGGCTTTCGTTTCCCACATAACAATTTCACAGACAGCGAATGGAAATCGGAAAAAGGAACGTTTGTTTCCTGCTACCAAGGATTTGTCCAGAAAGTCAAGTGATGTTTTGATGATATGGTAAATTACTACGTTATATCTCGAAACGTTACGCTGCATGCGTCTTGTTTTCTTGACGTCTATAAGCCAGACGGGACGTCAGGTAGTTTCCCTGCCTTGCTTGGGTTGCGATCTCTGTACGCGTATCAGTTTGCTGCGTGGACTTCCCTATTAGGTGACCAGTCCGCGCCGACCTGAGGCTCACATTAATCCTATGACCAAGTAAACGTGAGTCGAAATTTTAACCAATACTAAGCACCGGAACTTACAAGTAGATAAGATGTGCTGTGACGCAACGCTAGCAGTGACAGAACAATACTGTGTAAACCATGAAGACAAGGAATGAGCATGACCCAGAATGAGATATGGTGCGAAAAAAGGAAGGAACCAGCAGTACGCTGGTACGCAGTACTAACGCTTCGCTGCCACGCAACAACCCCCCCTCGGTTGCACATGAGCTAGGATACTGCAAGAGCCGCTTTGGCCCTACGCAGGCTCGAACCCGCGCCGCAAAATTACGTGACAAGCTCGTTACCTCCAAGTTAAAGGCATAACGAGGAAACTGCGTGGTTAGAATATTAAAAAACTAAAACGTTACGAAAAGACGATAAAAGAGTAACATGGTACAATACCCTGAGCAACAAAAACCCGCATTAGAGAGACCTAGAACAGCGCCAGAAAGGAAACTCACCATTTCGAGGGGGAAGAGGAAGACGGCACAGGAAGCGACCACAGACGCGCCAAGTGGATAAACGACCAATTAAAACAAATTAAGCTTTTAGCGTTGCCCAACGGACGAATATGTCCAAAGCGATTGCAATTAGCAATACACAGCTCAGTAATTGTTTTCTTAGATTCTTATTACAATGATGCAACAAGGCAACGCTCATTCAGATTCGGATTCAGATGGGACTGGAACGATAGGAAAATCCCATGCGTGTTCCTTCTTAAGCGGATCGTTGAGCCAGGAAATGATAATGTGCTAGGAGGTCTTGATGGATCTAAAACGAAAGACCTTTACCACACCATGGTCAACCAAATACTGCCTACGTTCCCTGCACTAGCATTTCCCGCTGTGTAGGTCAGTGAAGTAACGAAGGCGTAGAAAGGAAGTGAAGCTAAAGAAGAAGCAACGTCATTTAATAAAAGGATAAGACCACGGAGTGAGGAGAATGACATTACATGAGCTTATACTTGGAAGATGGATATTGTCAGAAGAAGGGAAATGTCCCCTGTTGCTACCCAAGGGCATCTAACTGATGCTCGACACCCTCAACCGTTGGTCCACTGATTACACTTTCTGGAAGCGAGTTCCAGCGCTAGGTACCTACGCAATAACCGAGTTAATGCCCTGATCTGGTCGGAAGGCGGCTTGTGTAACTTCATGGGATGACTGCGAAGACAAGGTAACCGCGCCGCGCTAAACAGCCAGCTCAAGTCCGGTCCAGCCTTCAGTGTTAAAAATGCGGTAAGTAAGGAGTACGTATCCACAAAGCCGTCGGTATTGCACTAAATACCTACCTATACTGGTGCTGCGGATAACGATCCCCTGTGGAGGTTTTTGCTCCTGAAGTTTCCAGCTTTCTGTATCAATACAGCAAACCACTATGACGACCAAATGCATAGATTGCGGCAAACGCGTTACCTCCCGCTCAAAACCTGTCCAAGGCGCCCTTTACGAAGGGGGACTGCCCACTTTTTGCTGTAACATCGACGACGCTCAATTTGATTGCCTTCAACGCACGGCCTCTGAGGTCGTGAGTTCCCATTATGACGAATGTCGAGGACTGGTGAATGACAAAAGCCTTCTGGCTAACCTGCATCCTCTCAGTATATATAGCCCTGCCGCCCTGACAATGTACAATCCGGAAGATGAGTCACCCGCATCATCGATATCCCTGCATGCATCTGGGTTTGCCACACCCACACCAAACCTAAGCCGCACTCACTCCGCTACGTCGGCCGAGTCATTATCTCCCAGTATGATGACGTGTCAGCCGGATAAAGCCCGAGACGTATGCTATCGTGGCGAGTGCCATCGCTTTAACAACAACAACAACAGCAGCAGCAGCAGCAGCAACAACAACAACAACAACCGGCCGCTGCCCAGCTGAAAGCATCCGCCGGGAAGCTGGTCTCTAAGCCCAAAGCGAAACCCATCACCTGGAATAACTCTTCCCTAGTGAAGGGAAATGTGACCTCAACCTTACTCAGTCAAAGCCCAGCCACCAATGCCGCCAATTTTAAACCCAAATCCGGGGGTAAACCCAATTCTAAGCTCTCAGCATCTCAGCCACAAATGAAGCTAGTTCTCAGTAGGCTTCCTGAGATGGAAAATGTGAGCAAAGATAATCCGTCCGCTCGCAGGCCGCAAATCCATGAGCGCACTCCATCTTCTCGGGACTGTTGCCTCATCAGTAGGAAAGCAGTTGAACAAAACAAAGCCACCCCAGCGGAAAGAATTTTGGATGACCAACTACTACTCGCGCGGTTGGTCTCTTTGTTATTTGATGAAGGCGAACAGGTAATTAACCTCGTCTCTGCATTCCAGCTCTGTATGAAGCAAAGGGATCCACCCTAAGTTCGCCCCTTAAAGTCGGGTGCCAAACAGAAGAGGAATGCCAAAGTATTCTGGGACTGACTTTTCGTCTCAATGGTGAGCCGTATTACGTACTACGTGACATTTCTCCAGGGATCGGATAAAAACGAAAAGGCTGTTGAGGAGGTGCGAATGAGCCGAAGAAAGCGTGAAACGGACCTCCAGATCGTGGATTTTTGCGTGGTTGGGAAGACCCTGAGGCCAGTTGCAGACCCATTCTTCTCATCCTCGGACACGAAAGCACACAAAGGGACTACGCGTGTTAACCGCCAATGTGTGCAGTCTAAGGAATAAATTGGATGAGATTCAGTTGCTTGCCTTAGAGACCCGTGCAGACCTGATGGCCTTCACTGAAACCTGGCTATTTACAGACATCCTGGATTCAGAGATGTCCATCCTGGGTTACCACCTCTCCCGATCCGATCGACAAGGAGGGTGTCTGGCGGTGGCGTAATGATCTACTGGAAGACCGATATCGGAGTCCATGTAGATGAAGCGGTCAGTGACAACGACCATGAGTTCGATGCCCTCTGGTGTGGTGTTCATGATGGACGGAGTTCCCTCACATTTTGTGTTGCCTACAAAGTGCCTTCAGGATCCGGAGTCCGCTTGAAGGACTCGATCAGGAGGCATGGTGCAGGAAAGGATTGTCTAATCCTTGGGGATTTCATTGCTCATTCGGTTGACTGAAACCTGCTGCTTTGTGACCAACCTACAGACTCCTACGGGACCAACTTACTCGAGACCATTCTTCCTTGTAATTTGCTTCAACATACCACTACGCCAACTCATATACCTCCAGACCAGACGCCGCATATCCTGGATCTCGTGCTCCCCTTAGCACAATCAGACATAGCGTACCTTTCTATTCTACAGCCCATTGGTAGCAGTGATCGCTGTACTGTCTCATTCCAGTGGATACGTCGTTTCGCTGTTCACAGCCAGCCAGCCGACCGTCGGCACTTCTGGCGTGCCGATACACTTCGACTGAAAACGGCCGCTAGAGTTGTCGATTGGAGTATCCATGTACACCTCAATGTTGACGAAGCGTGGAATAACTTATACTCCAAGCTGACGTTGCTCATTGAACGGGTCATCCTCTTCTCCAAAAAAGACCCTACGCAAAGGCCCTCCTTGAATCGATCACGAAGTAAGATCAATGTTGAAAAGAAAACGAAAATTTTGGCACTCTTCAGAACTACGCGATTTGAGCATGACTACTGCTACCACAAAACGGTCAAGAACGCTTGCAACATGAGAAAACGCGACAAACGTCAAAAATACGTGCTGTCTTTGGCTGCACTTCCAAGTACAACCTCCAAGGCGCTCTTCTCATATTTCAAACAGAGCACCAAAGCTGGCAGTGGTGTCCCTGTCTTGTCTCCCTGTGAGCATTTGGATCTAGTTTACGAAGCTTTTGATGAAGCTGGCCTTTTGGCCCAGCAAGCTTCCCCTATCTACTTGATCGAAACGCCACTCCAAAATAGCCTTGCACCCACTCCTCCTTCCCTTTTGAAACCCGTAAACGTTAACACTGACGTTTCGAGGAAACTTCTTCTTAACCCAGACCCGTATTCCTCGCCTGTTTCTCATGGTTTACACCCATTGCTTCTTAAGACCGTGGCTGAACACATTGCTGCTCCTGTCTGTTAACTCTTCCGTCGTTCCTTTGCGGTCGGGCGGCTGCCAACAGCTTGGAAGGTAGAAATCGTCAGACCTATTTGCAAAGGTGGACACCGACAGAACCCAGCCAGATATCGTCCCAACTGTCTGTCTTCGATTTTGTGCAAAATCATGCAACTGAGTGGGAAAGGCGTCCTTCGCCTTCATCTCGATGTCTTGGAGTTCCTAGCTTATGCACAACATGGGTTTCGAAGTGCGCTTTCATGCGCCACAAAATTGCTAGTGGTTGGGAATAATGGGCACGCTCCTTAGACCCCGGTAAGCGTCTAGCTGCTGTGTTTGTTGGTTTGGGTAAGGCTTTTGACGAAGTCCCGTATGAGCGGCTCTTCCTCAAACTTCGGGGAATCAGCGTCACCTGTAATTTTTCTTGATTCTCGGGTTTCCTGGACGGTCGCTCCATGCAGTTTAAAGTGAATGAAGCACTTTCTGTTCAAGTTCTCATGACGGGTGGGATCTCCCAGTGTTCTGTACCCGGTCCCGGACTCTCCAGTATCTTTATCAACGACTTGCCAGCCGAATTGCAGACGGACTGCTTAATCTACGCGGATGATCCGAAGCTGTGGATGGAGGCATCTAGTCTGGAAGATGCAGCCAGCTTTCAAGCGACACTCGGTCTGCTCCAGGATTGGTCAATATAGTGGCAGACGCTTATCAACCGGGACAAATGCACTGTCTTTCCAGTCGGTTCTCCGGAGCCTTTTGGGGCTGGCCATATTGTGGGTTGCTGGCTCAGAAAGGTCGACCAGGAGAGGGAGCTCGGGGTGATTGTGTCTCTCGATCTCATATCAATCGAGGATACCCGGAAGAGGATCGCGTCCGCCTACTGAACACATTACGTTATACGGAGAACGTTCTCACGCCTGATCCCAACACTCCTCCCGTTAATGTTTGCTTTGCATGTGCACTCCATTCCCGTGTACGGAGTGCCAGCTGCCTACCCTCTCAACAAGTCCGAAAGTGACATGATCGAGGAGGTTCGACGGCGTGGATTCAAATCCGCTTCAGGGTTGTGGGACTTATCTTACCCACTACAGCTTCAACTGTTGAACCTGTTCCCTTTGGAGTATCGTCGTCGCCGCGGAGAAATGATATTCACTAGGCGTATTCTACACGGTGGGATGGAGGTGAGCTGCTATCGTTCCTTCGTCTCAACACAACGTGTGTAACCCTGGCCAACCGTGGAATCTTTTCAAACCGCGACTACACCGTAAGTGGTCCGATATGGCCCTAGCCACCCGGGTAGCGAAGGACTGGAACAGCTTGCCAGAGGCTGTCGTCGATGCGGAGACATACGAATCTTTAGAGCGACAGTTGGCTTTCCATTCGCTGAGTGAGCAGGGAGTTTGCTTCTCCAATACAGTCACAGCGGTCTTCTGCGGAACCTTGTTCCGCAATGATCCCAGCAACCTTCGCCACGCTCAAGGAGTGACGGGGCTGACAAAGGAACTTCCTTCTGCCCTCTACCAACCAATAAACCAATGAACCATGAAACAAAGCTAAATATATGCTTAGGGTCGGTTCGCCCAAGTAACCACTCGCACAACTTGGTACCTACACTCAAAACCCTCTCGAGCTCCATTTTGTCGCGAAT